AGTGGAGAAACTGGGGCACAGAGAGGTTAAGTTCTGGGTCCAAGGTCACACAGAGAGTAAGTGGCGAAGCTGAAATGTGAACCCAGGCGTCTGGCTCCCGCGGGAGGAGGAGCGGACGAAGGTGAGGCGGGTAAGCTTGCAGGGTACGGCAGTGCGCTGCGTGTCCAGCTCGCTTGCTCTTGACTCACGGTTTTCTGCTCCTTTATCAGCTAAAGGTTTGTGCCTTTACGTGCTGGAAGATCACGTTTACCAGCAGAAAGAGTGGGGCGGAGGCTGAAAATGTGTCAGCCACACGCTCCCGCGAGCAGGAATTTTCCGCTCCTCCTTCCTCCTCTCTGGGACGTCACGGGACAGGTGTGGAGGCGGCAGGCGGAAGGTGGGAAGAGAAGGAACCCGTCCCCGCTGACTTCTAGCTGGCACGTGCTGGGTCTGCGGACGGTGAACTGGGGAGCTGGGAGAAGGGACGGAATCCTGTTGTCTGCGCGTGTAGATCTGGAATAACGGATACAGGGAGGTGCAGAGGGAACCTGGCTGTGAGCCAGGCTCAACCAAAGGCTGCTGGCTGCAGAGGGGGCCCTGGCGGTGCTTAACCCAGTGTTCCTTCTAGTCCAGTGAGCCACGAGCCGCCCGCGGAGCCCTCTGAGTGACAGCCAGCATGTGACTAACTCCAGCTCTGAGCATCTGTTCACAAGCTGGTAGCGACAGTCATGACTGCAAGTTACTGGACTCGTGACATTCAGCCATGCAAAGGCAGCTTTTAGAACTGTCTGCAATTAGCATTGTTTTGAATGAATGAATGAATGATGGCTGTGTAAGTCAGTGTGGACCCCAGGTCCGCAGACAAGTCCTAAAGCAATAGAACCAAGGGGAAAAAAATAGTACTTTTTCCCCCTAATGATAACGACAGTACAGGCTCTAGAAAGGACAGGAAAATGGAAAGAAAGAAATCATCCATAATTCCAGAACATGGAAGTAGGTGTTGTTAACACTTCCATGTATTTCCTTCTAGTTTGTTTTCAGTATAATTGATGATAAGTTGTATTCGATTTTGTGTTCTGACTGCCTTACTTTTAATAATTCAAACTAAGATGTTCTACTCAGTCTGTTAGTTATCTGGAAAACAGCGAAATTGTCAAATGAGTTCCTAAAACTGACGTATCCTGATCATATCACAGAGAGGCTGATCCTGACCTTTTTAAAAGATAAGAGTTTGGAAGTGAAAGCAAGGACTCCGACAGAGACTTGTGCCCCACATTCACAGCAGCATAAATCACAAGGGCCAAAAAGGTAGAAGCAACTCGTGTCCATCAGTGGATGAATGGACAACAAAATGCGGTCTATCATACAGTGGAATATTACTCAGCCTTGAAAAGGAAGGAAATTCTGACACACGCAACAACATGGATGGACCTTGAGGACATTATGCTAAGTGAAATAAGCCAGTCACGAAAGGATACTACTGTGATTCCACTAATATGAGGAGCCTAGAGCGGTCGGATTCAGAGACAGAACGTGGAAGGGTGGGTGCTAGGGGCTGGGGTGGGTGGAGGCTGGTTGTTCATGGTGCACAAGTTTCGGTTTGGGAAGACGACAAAGTTCTGGAGATGGATGTGGCGATGGTTGCACAATAACGTGAATGTGCTTTATGCCAAAGGAACTGCACACTTAGAAACGGTAAATTTTATGTTAGGTGTATTTCACCACAATAAAACAAAACAAAACAAAAGGCAAGAGTTTGGAGCCGAGGACCCTGGTCTCGGCTCTGGCTGACTCTCCCTGCCGCTCCTCCCTCACCCGTCCTCTGGGGGGAAGTCTGGCTAGGCTCCCAGTACCCACCTCCTTCTTGCCTCTCCACCCCCATGTTCCTAATACACAGCCCCGGCAGAGGTCCTGGATGGGGATGGGCCTGAGGCTCAGGAAACTCTGCCCGTGTTGCATCAGATACGTGAGGGGTGAGACCGGGGCCTCATGTGGGGAAGCGCAACAGTGGTCTGTGGGTCATGAACAAGCTGTCTTGCAACTAACGCCGGGTGGGAAGAGGGGAGTGGGAAGGAAAAGCAGCTGATGGGAGTCTGGTGCACAAGTGGGGTGGCCTTGACTCTTAACGCCACTTCCGGGAGAAGCAGAGCCTTCCCCAGGATCTCCACGGCCAGCTCTCATGCCCGTGTCTGTGTGTCCCTCTAAAGTACAGCGGGTCTGGCAGAGCTGTAGCCTTCCATCTGGGGGGCCAGTAATACGAATGCAGCGTGGCACCTGCCCCGCACCCCTGGCCCACTCCTCCTCTAGGCTCCTGCTGCCTCAGGCTGAGGATATGGAGCCTTGCTTGTGGGGCCAGTGGGAGCCCGTGGAGGAGGGAGGCGAGACCACTGTGTGCTCTGTCTCTCTGTCTCGGCTGGACCATGCCCAAATGTGGGTGAAGTTTGTTGTCCCGTCCAGGGTCTGGGGCCTGGACCTAGAGAGCAGAGGGCGGAGTCTTTGCCAGATGGTGCAACGCATTTTCCAATGCCCCAGGGCCCCCGCTTGCTTCACAGCAGGGTCAGCCAGAGTGGTTGTCCATCCCCTCGGACCCGGGTTGTTGGCTTCAGGCTTGGAAAGTGGACGTGGCCGAGGCCAGCAGAGTCTGGGGCACCAGAGCCCTGAGCGCACGCACGTACACACACACCAACCTGCACACACACCCAAGCTTGTCCCCAGGTGACTAAGTCCTCATAGGCCACACCTGCTGCTGTCACCGGGGGACTTCCAGGGGGTCTCCTCTCCTCTGTTGAGTGAAGGGATAAATGACCTCTCAGGGGACTTTCTCCCGCCTACGGGAGCAGGCAGGTGGGAATTTTCTCTGGAAACTACCTAGTAGTTTTTATCCTAACAATTTATCCACCCTTCTTTCAAGAAGGTCAACCCAGTTCTTCACTCTCAAAAACAAAACAAAACAAACAAAAAAAGGTTGCAAGCCTTCTCAATGGCTTGTCACAAACCACACAGAACAAAAGGGCTGCGGACACAGCAGGAACACTAGCTCCCAGGGGTTCGCTTATTCTAGACTCTTGATTTTTCGCTGGTGGATCTTTCTGATGCACCTCCAAACTCCACGAACGGATTGCTTCCCATGCATTTGTCGCTGGTTTCCTCAACAAAGTGTGGAATATTTTTTTTTCTTTTTTTTTTTTATTGAGTTATTGATAGGTTACAATTTTGTGAAATTTCAATTGTACATTAATGTTTGTCATTCATGTTGTAGGTGCACCACTTCACCCTTTGTGCCCACCCCCCACCCCACCTTTCCCCTGGTATCCACTAAACTATTCTTAGTCCATAATTTTAAATTCCTCATATGAGTGGAATCATACACAGATTATCTTTCTCTCGCTGGCTTATTTCACTTAACATAATTCTCTCAAGGTCCATCCATGTTATTGCAAATGGAATGATTTTGTTCTGTTTTGCAGCTGAGTAGTATTCCATTGTATATATGTACCACATCTTCTCAACAAAGTGTGGAATATTTGTAGTGAGGTGCCATATATGTCTCCCTATTCCCATTAGCCCAGCTGGAAGCCTGGCACACCACTGACACTGTGGCTGGGGGGGTGGGGTGAAAACTGAAAACCGGAACCTTTATATGGCTAGACACTGCACTCGCTTGCTTGAGAAGCTTTGAAAAAACTGCAAAGTCGAAGCCCCACCTGGCGGCTCTGATTTAATTGGTCTGGGGTGGGGTTACACATTGGGTATTTCTTAGCGGTTCTCTGGGTGGTTCTTGCGTGCCGTTGATGGTGAAGACCAGTGAGCTAGGTCATGATTCCGGGTAGGTAGTCACTTTTGCGCATTCGCTCTTTTTTCCTCCTCGATTATCTGGCGTATCGGCCTGGGATCTTAATTTATTAAACCCAAGATGTGACGATCCTGATTTAAATAGCCAGGAGGTCAGGTTCTTGCTTGACAGGAGGGCTGTAGTGGAAGAAATACTTAGGTGACCAGCTTGTGCTCCAGAGGGCTTCCTGCTTGTCGTTTCATCACATCTCTTATCTACCCACAAGGATTTCCAGGCTTTTCCAGACATCCGCATCTGATCCCTCGTTGCTTTGAGAGGATTATAGAAGTGGCTACTGGTTTTATCGGTCATCTGTTTACGAGGCGTCCCAGATGGGCTGTTTCTGCCAGTAGCTCCACTCATCCCCTTTGCGAGGAGGCTTTAGCATCCAGGGTGAATGGTCCGACCTCTGCCCCAGATCTGGGCGCTCAGTGTCGGGAGCCTGTGGCCTCAGTTCACCGGAGGGAAGCCTTAGGCAACGCTTCCGGGCTGCTCCTCCACCGATTATCCGATTCACGCACACCAGGTCCTTTGTTGTCAACAAATGAAAAGTCAGATTAAATGTAATTGCCATCATACTTCATCTTTCAACATTAGCTTTTGAAAGATTAGCGATGCCCTGATTCGTGGTATAACACCTTTGATTAGAGGTATGCAATGTCCAAATTGGAGGAAGATCCTTTTGGGGTGAATGTGCAGAATTATTACCATTTTACGTGACTCCTGAACTTAAAATTTATTTTATTTTATTAAGGTCATAATGGTTTATAACATTGTGAAATTTCAGGTGTACGTTATTATTTATTAGTTTCTGTATAGACAGCGTCGTGTTCACCACCAATAGTCTGATTTTTATCCGTCACTAGATGTAAGTGTCCCTTTACCCCTTTTGCCCACCCCCCAACCCCTTCCCCTCTGGTAACCACTAATCTTGAACTTAAAAATTTTGGAGTCTTAATTTTCGTTTTGAAAGAATTTCAGACTTAAAGGGAAGTTGCAAAAATAGCCCCAAGCATTCCCAGACAGCTTTCACACACACAGATTTTGCAAATGTTAACCTTTACCCTATTTGCTATATCATTGTCTTTCTCTCTCCTTCCCTCTTTCCCTCACTCCTTCCCTGTCTGTCTTTCTATCCGTCTATCTACCTATCTGTCTCTGTCTCATCTGTAGGGAGGAAGAGGGAAAGAGAATATACATATATACATAGATATATATGGGTGTGTGTGTGTGCGTAGAGAGACAAATGCTTTTTTTTTTCTGAACCATTTGAGAGTTAGATGCAGAGATGGTGTCCCTTTCGCCGGAATATCTGAAGGGTATTTCTTCAAAACAAGGACAGTACGATGATCAAAGTAAGGAAATTAACATCAGTACAGTCCTATTATCTAATATGCCGACTTTGTGTGTCTCACAAACTTTCCCACTAATGTCCTTTCTTTCTAGCAAAGAGCACAGTTTTTGCTGACGCAAGGTTGAAGCCAGCTCACAGGTTGCAGTTGGTCATCACGGCACTGGAGCCTCTTCTCCTGGCCCTGGTATTGTTGAAGAGTCTAGGCACTCATTATTATTTTTTTAATAATTAAAAAAATTTTTAATTGTGGTAAAAACTCGTAAAGTTTACCATCTTGACCTTTAAAATTTATTTATTTATTTTATTTTCAATGGTGGTAAAAAGACATATTTTAACCATTTTTAAGTGTACAGTGTGGTAGTGTTAAGTATATTTACATTGTGCAACAGACTTCTAGAACTTTTTCATCTTGCAAATCTGAAACTTTACACCCATGATTTATTTTTTTTCTTTTTCTTCTTTTTTTTTTTTGAGGAAGATTAGCCCTGAGCTAACATCTGCCACCAATCCTCCTCTTTTTGCTGAGGAAGACTGACCCTGAGCTAACATCCATGCCCGTCTTCCTCTACTTTATACGTGGGACACATACCACAGCATGGCTTGCCAAGCAGTGCCACGTCCACACCTGTGATCTGAACCAGAGAACCCCGGGCTGCCGAAGCGGAACGTGCAAACTTAACCACTGCTCCACCGGGCCGGCCCCCAACACACCCATTAACAACTCCTCATTTCCTCTTTCCTGGTCACCACCATTCTACTTTTTGTTTCTATGAAGTTAACTACTCTAGGTACCTCATATAGGTGGAATCGTACAGTATTTGTCTTTTTGTGACAAATTTGTCTTTTTGTGTCTTTTATTTCACTTAGCATAATGCCCTCAGGGTTCATCCATGCTATAGCAAATGATGGGATTTCCTTCATTTTTATGGCTGAATAATATTCCATTGTATGTGTAGACCACATTTGGTTCATTCATTTGCCTGTAGACGGACCTTTGGGTTGCTTCCACCTCTTGGCTACCGTGAATAATGCTGTAATGAATATGTGTATGCAAATATCTCCTCGAGATCCAGGCCATTTATCTTTTAGCATATCCCTCAATTTGGGTTTGTCTGTTGCCTCTTTTTTGCTCGTTGTTGTTGAGGAAGATTAGCCCTGAGCTAACACCTGCTGCCAATCCCCCTCTTTTTCCTGAGGAAGACTGGCCCTGAGCTAACGTCCGTGCCCATCTTCCTCAGCTGTATATGGGGGACACCTGCCACAGCATGGCTTGAGGAGCAGTGCATAGGTCTGCGTGTGGGATCCCAACTGGCGAACCCCGGGCCACCGAAGTGGAGCGTGTGAACTTAACCACTACGCCACCGGGCCAGCCCCTGTCTATTGCTTCTTTACAATTAGGTACGGGTTCTGCATTTTTGGCAGGAGTACCTGGGAAGTAGTGAAGTGTCCTCAGTGCATCATCTTGGGAGACACGTGACATCTCTGTTTCGTTACCCGTGAGGTTAGCTTAGATCCCTTGCTCAGGATGGTGTCTGCCAGGTTTCTCTCCTGTAAGGTTGCTCTCTCTCCCTTTTTAATTAAGAAGTATTTTGTGGGGAGATACTAGGGACTCTGTTTCTTGTCAAACCTCCACCCCCTTGATGACTGTTGTCTGAAATCATTATTACTGTGGTGATTGCCGAATGGCGACTTAGGAATTCCATCCCTCCTTCTACATTGATTTGTCCGCATTCCACTATGAGGAAAAGCTGTCTCACCTCCTGCACTCCCTCACTCACTCATTCATTCATTCATTCGTTTTGTCTACATTTGAGTGGATTTGGGGATTCTCCTTTCTCTCTGGGGTATCATCTATTACCGCCGCCATTCATTTTGTTGCTCAGATCGTACCAGATCTGGCGAGCGGGAACCCCTTAAAGTGGGCTCTTGTTTCTTTTTTTTGACATGTCCTCATCATTTCCTCATTAACTCATGTTTCAGCCTCAGGGTTTCCTGTGCTTCTTGTTTTTAGATAGTGCTCAATTATTGGTATAAGTTAAATAATAAATAACTAAGATTAAATCTGCCTAAAGCTGTACAATGTCCAGACCCATCCTGGTGGCTGGTGACAACTCATCTGGGAGATAAGACAGCCGACTGTCAGGAGCACACCCATCTTGAACCCTAACTTCTGCACACTCCGTGCACACTTAGATGCTCTCAGGCTATTTATTTAGTTTTAAAGGCACATGTGTTGGTTGGGTGCTCTGGGAAGCAGGATTAAGATGGAGTTGGAAGGCAGATTTACTGGGATAGTGCTTGTGGAAGTACAGGAGAGGCTTGCAGCTCTGACACCTGTGAGAGGGAGGGGGGAGGGGGCGGGAGTTGGAGGAACAGCCTCATCCTGCAGGGCAGCTCTGAGAAGTCTCAGCCGCCCACGGGCAGCTCCAGTGCAGAGCTCGCCTGTGCAGGAGCCCCATATTGGGCAGACATGGCCAGGCCCCGGGACCCTGCAGTGCTCAGTCATTGCCTGGGAGCTGCTCGGAAGAGCATGGCCTCAGCTGAGAGGCTGCTTCCGATCCCGGGGTGCTGTGGCTGGAGACTCTTAACTGTAGCTGGCAAACAAGTTATTTCTCTCTCTCCTTTCTTCTTCTTCTTCTTCTTCTTCTTTTTTTTTTTGGTGAGGAACATTGCCCCTGAGCTAACATCTGTTGCCAGTCCTCCTGTTTTTGCTTGAGGAAGATTGTCCAGAGCTAACATCAGTGCCAAGCTTTCTCTATTATGTATGTGGGATGCCGCCACAGCGTGGCTTGACGAGTGGTGTGTAGGTCCATGCCCAGGATCCGAACCTGCGAACGCCAAGCTGATGAAGCAGAGTGTGCAAACTTAACCACTACGCCACTGGGCCAGCCCCAGCAAGCTCTTTCTTAAAGGGAGCTCAGAGTGACATACCACTAAGGCTGCCATAGGAAACCTGTTTAAAGATTATGTTTATTGATTAAAAATTAGAAGTCGAAGCAGAACTATTTCTACTTGGGATGTGAACCCCATATCACGCTTTTGTGGATCCCTGAGGTTCCAGTAATCCCTAGGGAGGCAATGCCAGTGTAGACGTCGGACTTCTTTCTAGTCTGGCATTTCCAGCTAGAGTCTTTGGTTTGGTTGAGAGGTGCCACGATTGTCTCTGCCTGCCCCGAGGTATGAATGCAAAGAGTTGGTAGCACAGTTCACATCGCGAGGCCAGCAGGGATGGCTCGAGCACCTCTGCATTGCCAGGGGCTCATCAAAGGAATGTCCCCCCATCTATGGCTGCGGCCCCTTGACCACCCAGGTTGATCAGATGTACCACCGAAAGCTAGGTGAGCAGCCGTATACCAGATTCACTTAATACTGCAATTCTGGACTCAAAGACTTTACCAGGGGGGAGGACTGCTGTCACGAGATCGTTCTGCACTTGGAGTGCAGAGAAGTGTCCTGCCCCAAATCACCAAGTTGGTGAGCCAGGCCTGGAGCTCAGGCCCCGCAGAATCACAGGATGCCCCATTGGCAGGCCCAGCCAGAGGCCGCTAGTTTGACGGCCAGCTCTTGTGGGAACCCCTCTACAAAGGTTTTGACCGATGGGCATCCAGCCGCTGCTGGGAGTCCTAATGGGGCAGGCCGTCGCTATCTTTGGGTCCCATGGTCGTGGGCTGTGGGACAGCCAGTGGTGTCCCCGTTGTATCGTCCAGCCAGCAGTCTGGTTTCTGCTCATGAGAGCAACACAGTGCAATCACCGCCTCCTGCATGTGTCCGTGGTTATCACAGTATCTCATAGTTTTGTTCCTTAACCTGCATCTAGTTCTTTGGCTACTCCTCACAGAGCATGGCTTCCAGATGGTTCGAACATCCCAACGGCCTTTCTCTGGAGGCATGTGAGTTTGTTAACGTTCCCCTTAAAAGGCATCACCCAGAACTGACCACAGTGTGGTCTCACCACAGGCCATTCCAGACCACCCGTCTTCTCGCTTGAACACTACGCGTTCACACAGCCCGACTGGGGTAGGTTTTCCAACATCTACTCAGCATTGTTTTCCAAAACCTGCATTTAAAAATTTTTTTTGGCTTGATTTGGCTCTATTTTTAGAATGTTTTCCACTGGGAGAAGGAAGAAGCGTGAGGGGGAACAGAGACGGGAAAGCGCGCCAATTCTGATGTGTCAACCCTGGCGTTGCGCCACCCCGTGGGGCTGCACCCAGCACACAGCGTCAGCCGGCCTTGCGACACAGCGCCCATTCCCCACTTTCTCAACCGCAGCCTCGCTCTGCCATCGCCACCGTGTACTTCCTGTCCTCAGCAGAGGGTTGTCTGGTGGTCAGCTTCTGTTCTCACCCAAGTCCTTAGTCAGGAGCCTCAGTTATTTTGACTCCGGCTCCTCCTTCCCCTTGTGTGTGTGTTGGGGGATTTAGCTGATCTGTTGAGAAAACCAAGGGATGGAGACCAAACCACAGTCAAGACTGGAGGAAGTCTGGTCAGACATGTCTGTCACCCACCTTGAGGGGGCCTGGGCGATTCAAAAATGCTGATCTTCACACGCTTGTTGAGTACTTCACAGTGTTTCCAAGAGCGCTTCTTTTCGTATCTGATTTGACCCTCATGGCCACCTCTTCAGGTAGACGGGGCCACTATTATCCTCATTTTACAGATGAACCCACTGATGGCCACAATGAGCGGCTCTCTGTCTGCCTCCAAGCCCTGTGGTTCCTGGAGCAGTTCTGGAGGCTGCTTCCAGCCCACGATGTGAGCCATGCTTGTTCCTGCTCGAGATTACTTGTTGATTAGTTGAGACATTGCAAATCTAAGCATTCTTCATCAAGCATAGATTGAACACCTCCCATGTCCTGACACTGTGATAAGCTCCCGGTGAGACAAAGGTGGACAGCTGTCCCTGTTTTAAGTTGCTTCTAGTCTGTAATTACTGTCAAGTTTCTACCTATATTTCACTGGGAACAGTCACTGGAGAAGTGGAAGAGATGCCTAGAGACCCTCGGCAGTTGAGGGAACTGGGGCCCAGTGAGGAAAGACCTGCAACGCGGCATAGACGGGGTCAGAACTAGGGTCCATGCTCCCAGCTCCCAGCGCTCGGCCCCTTCCCCAGCCTGTAGTGTTCCTTCCACACTCCCTAATCCCACTGGACAAACTTTGCAGCTCAGACAAGTCTGGCTCTCAGTAGCTGAGAATCGAATCCTCGACCATCCATAGCTTCCATAGAATTGCTTTTTCTCGTCGTAATTTTGAATGCCTCACTCACTTTGGTGTTTACCGTAGGTCTATAGTGTCGCTCAACATGAACTTCTCCCTACAACCCGATTCTTTGAACATCTTGAGGCGAATTCACTCTTTCGTTGGCTTTGCTGCGCGCCAGGTGCTGACCCTGTTTACGCTGCTGTGAAGTCCAGGAGTGGGCTTCTCAGCCGGAAGATTGTATGTCTTAATGGGAACATGATAGCTGCCCACAACTGTTCGAGGGCAAGCATCTGTTGCTGGAGGAATGCACAGGCTTATTATGT